GTGTGTTGCTTAATGTATAAAAACCTAATAAAAATAATTAAAAAAAAAAAAACAGTAGTTGAGCACCTGCACATTTATTTTATCTTCTTTTATTTTCGTTATTTTGATTTATATCCCGCCCTCCCTGCAAGCAGGCTTAGGCACTGTATCCCCACACCTTAAGCCCCTACTGAAGGGAGAGGACATTTCGTTCCCAGGCACTTGGAACCCTCCTGATTCCACATTTATTTTATCTTCTTTTATTTTCGTTATTTTGATTTATATCCCGCCCTCCCTGCAAGCAGGCTTAGGCACTGTATTCCCACACCTTAAGCCCCTACTGAAGGGAGAGGACATTTCGTTCCCAGGCACTTGGAACCCTCCTGATTCATTCCTAGGACTGTCAGTCTCCCATTTTTAAGCCAGGGCGAGAAACGGCACTGGCTTCCTGTTTTGAGTCTAGACGTGCGAAATCCACCTGGAGGTTGGGAACCCTATTACCAACTGTCTTAAAGAACCGGCTCCGGTGACCTCAAAGAGCAGGTGGGATGTAGCAGGTGAAGCTCTCAAGGCAGGTGGAGGAGCAGAGACTGGTAAGAGGCAGGGCCTGTAAGACGGAGCTCTTCCGCCAGGCCTTTGAGTAGGAGCCGCCGCCCCATTATACCACCACCGTTAAGGTATCTTAAAGGATGCATCGACGAGGCCCGAGGAAGAACCTGGAAACTACTGAAGATCTGACAAGCCGACGCCATTGGACACGCATACTATGGGAGGACCATCTGGAACTGCGGTGTTACCGTCTTGGATTTAGGATATCAGTAATGGATTGAGTACGGTGGTTGTAGTGTTGGATGTTTTACTAGGTTTTATATGTTTTTACCTATGGCATGGCAAATGGCCTTGCCCTTGTTAGCCGCCCTGAGCCCATTGGGGAGGGCGGGATGCAAATGCAAAAAATAAATAAATAAATAAAAATAAAATAAGAAAGCTGGTGTCCTTATCTGCAGGTGACAGGGATTCTTTTAAAAGGTATTTTTGTCTCTCTCCTTCCTGAAACTCAGCAGTCCTGCCCACTTCTCGCTTAGGCCAGAGAGACCTGAAACAAGGCTGTGGCTTTGCCCCTGCCGAGAAAATGGGAACTGGAAGTGTTCCCACACCACCACAAAACTCCCGGCCCTGAGAGCAGGCAGCCTGGTGCCGTTCAGGTGACGCTTGCGTACACCCTTGGGGGCAAGGTGGGCAGCTGAAACGGCCCCGGAACAAGCCAGTAAACTTTAAATTTTTAAAGAATGCACCGTAGCCCCTGGCCTGTCTCAAACCAGCGCTTGGCCCATGTCATGTATCAGACCGCGTGTGCGGCCATTTCGCCACGCGGTCAGGCGAAGCGACCGAGCTTCGTTCTCAGTAACATGGGATGAGCGGATCCTAGCCGCCACCTATTGGCAGGCTAGGCTCCTGGCCGTTGAGCCTATGGAACTCTTGGCCACTGTAAATAGCCAATCACTTGGGTGTGGGTGTGTTTGGGGAGCGGGGTTTGTGCACATATAAACCAGCCTGCGAGCTGGGTACTCACGTCTCGTTCTGAGCTGAAATAAAGTACGAGAGCTGAAATCACTAGTAAGTCTCAGTACTTTTCACTGGCGACGAGGATGGGATCGGCCCAACATGCGTGAGTGGTGTGTTCACACACGTTCTACATGCTTCTCAATTTTACCCTCAGTACGAGAGGGAGGGAGGAAGGGAGGTGGGAACATGGATTGCTTCCGGTGAATAGTGGAAGTGAGGTCACTACGCCGACATGCCCCACTCTAGGATTCACCAAAACACTATAGTGAAACAAGAGAATTTTGGCAGATTCCTTGAGTGGACATGTTGCCGTGGTGACCTCACTTCTAGGTATTTACTGAAGTGACATCAAACCATCAGCATACCACTGCTCTTCTTTGACTATTTCTTCCCTCCTGTCCCCACCGAGTGGCAGTGGGCAGGGAAGAGGGAGACCTGGTCTCCCTACTTGTGTGAGAGGCAAGAGGTTGGGTCAAGGTCACTCCATGGTTCCAGGGCAAAGTGAAGAGCTGAACCCTCTGGAGCTAGTTCTGAAGAAGTGAGCAGTGGCTCAGGAAAGCTCCTCCCCTGCAACAAAGGCCGTTAGTCTTGAAGGTGCTCCTGGACTGTTTGCCAGGGGTCATTTCGTAGAAAAAGAGGTGCCAGGAGCTCATTAGCATAACACATTAGCATAACTTATTTGCATATATGTCACACCCCCTGACATCACCGGAAGTGTGTCAGATGGCAACACCCACCACTCAGGCTCCACTGGACTGTTTTGGATTGCTAGCTATTGGGGGGGGGGGACATGCAGATCTGTCCTCACAGAGGAGGGAGAGCTTGTACCTGAATAAAACCTGCTCTTAAAGGTGCCCCTGGACTGTTTTGGACCAGGGGGCCGGGGAGGACTCTGCAACTTACCTGGCTGCTTCTTGCTCTGACTGAGGGCTGCTGGGACCAGGGGGTGGGGCTTGTTGCATGTGCCCACCCCCTGGGCTCTTTACTGCCGGAGCTCTGCTCCTGTGCGCTCCTGCAGGAAATGACCCCTGCTCTTTGCTCTTTTCTCCTGCTACAGACAAACATGGCCGCCCATCTCGATCTACCTCTGTACCTGGGTCTCCCCCCTCTCACCATTTCTAGCCCAGCATGAACCACCTTTTTAATCACCTGCTCTTTTTAAGCCCTGCAACCCTAATCTCTTTTCTCCTGGGAGGTGGGGACTGTACCTGTTCGGCACCGAGCTCTGTGCCCAGCTCCTGGATGGCCTCCTTTGCTCTCTCCTCTGCCGGCTTGTAGAAGTTTTCGGAGCCGAGGCGTGGGTGAGGATGGCCCCACGAAGCGGCTTTGTGCAGTCCCGAGTCCCCCGTCCCTGCTTGGCTGTGAGAAGTGAACCTGGCCAGGTCGTCCAGGGACACGGTTGGCCGGATGAGCTCAGCAGGCCGGCGGTAGCCCTTCCCGGAACAGCCGGGCTCCGTTGGGCCGTGAGGCTTCAGGCAGCCGTGAGATGCACTCAGGCTGGTGGGGGTGGCTGTCTTTTCTCCCGAAACGGGAGGCAGAACCTTTCTGTCGACCCCAAGAGGGGACGCCAGTCCCGCCTGCAAAGAGACAGAACGGGCCCGGGAGGAATCGCTGGGTTCATCCGTGTCTGTCTTTCGAGGCTCACACGCTGGAATGGCACTCACAAACCGATATTCGTACTCGGGCCGCTGCTCCCGGCCAACCCCAACGGATGCGTCGGCATCCTCCAACCGAGTTGTGGGGGGCAGCGTCTCCGAAGGGGGCTCAGTCTGGGCCGCAGGACCAGGCAGCTGCCTGACGTATTTGGCCGGGATGTAGAAGGGACGGCTGCCGTTGCTCTTCCTGACGTGCCACCAGTGGTCATTCGTTCGCTTCAGGAGCACGTATCTCTCGTTGGGCTTTATCGACACGAGACGCCCGTCCTTGGCGGTGTACTCAAAGGCGTATTCCACCAAGATGTAGGTTTCCTCCTCTCTGCCCAGGGACTCCATCCTTGGGTCCCGCAGTGGCTTCCTGGGAGCAAACTCTTCTCTCTGGAAGACAAAGAGGGAAACGTTTCTAGCCAGGGTGGCTTCAGGCAGGCCTGTGACTACTCGGGGGTTGAAAAAGGATGAATTCTGTGAACTTCACAGAAGGCAAATGCCCAGTTTGCTCAGAGGTTGGTTGAGGGGCTATGCAGAGCTTGAACCATCCCCCCCCCCCCGCCCCAGACCAGCACATGGCAGAAGTCAAGGAGAAGGGATTTGTTAAGCCTTATCCAGAGGGCATATGGAGGAGGATATAAACTATCAGTGCTCCAAAGCAATTGCCTGGGAGAGCTGGAAGTCTTGCTGCAGAATGGAAACACTTCAGAAACTTGGCAAGACAGGGAAACTCTGTAGGATATGGCTTACTCCATACTTAGGGAGGTCAGGGAAGGATGCATCTGGTGCGGGCAGGCTCTGTAGGGCCAGTCGCACACGTTCAACCCCACCTACCTCACAAGGTTGTTGGCGGGTTAGAATGCATGAGGGGAAAATCCACACACACCACTGGAGAAAGGGCAAGATAAAAGTGTACCAACCAAAGGCATGAACAATCAGATGAAGAGGCAGTTCAGCTGCCTCAAATATAATGGATGAGTGGGTGTTGAGGTCATGAGATAAGAGACCAAATTCCTGGACACTATAAATAATTGTGGCTGGAATGTGTTGATCGGGGAGCTGAGTAGAGAGGAGCCCCCCCCCCACTTGGTCTCAGGTCTTGAGTGGGGCCCAGTTGCTGTGGCGAGGGGCCTCAGAGCTATGGGCCCCAACTGGGCCCCATGAGTACAGCATCGTTAAGTCCAGTATTTCTGTGAATGGAAGGGCACTCCATGAAATTGCTGAGCAGTCGGGTTACAACAGATAAAAAGAAGCCCTTCTTCACCCAAAGAGTGATTAACACGTGGAATTCTCTGCCACAGGAGGTGGTGGTAGCTACAAGCATGGACGGCTTCAAGAGGGAATTAGATAAGTACATGGAGCAGAGGTCCATCCGTGGCTATTAGCTGCAAGGTATAGATAGGAACTCTCAGTCTGGGGCAAGGGATGCTCTGTATTCTTGGTGCTGGGGGGGGGGCAACAGTGGGAGGGCTTCTAGTGTCCTGGCCCCACTGGTGGACCTCCTGAGGGCACCCGGTATTTCTGGCCACTGTGTGACACAGAGTGTTGGACTGGATGGGCCATTGGCCTGATCCAACACTGGCTTCTCTTATGTTCCGAAGGCCCACCCCCCACCATTCAACACATTTGATTTCAAAAGTGGAAGGGTCTCAAAGAGGGTCAAATTCCTTCAGGATGCCTGGAAATTGTTTAAAGCTGTGATAACGGATGCTCAGGTAGAGTTATACTGCAGACAGATTTCAGAGGATGCAAAAGCAGAGTCAAGGAAGCCAAAGAAGGCCTGTACAAAGTGGAAGTCTTGCCAAACAAGAGGAACAGGATGGAGCACAAAAGCCCTGGTAAAATGGAGGTCAGCTGGAAATAAGGCGGGTAAAATATGAGGCGTGCCGTTGCACAAAGCATTCTCATAAGCAACAAGAATGTCTTTATGTACACACGAAACTGCCCAAGGAGGCCCTTGGATGACAAAAAGGTGAAAAGATTGGTAAAGGAAGATGGGAAGATTGCAGAGAAACTGGCGGGAAACCACCAACAACATTCATTGGCTGTGGGCACACGTGCAGGAAAATGCAGGGGGGGGGGGAAGCGTGGCTGTTTGCCCCAGGGCTAAATAATGCGCGGTTGCGTGAGCAGACCTACCGTGGAGGTCCCATGGTAGGGGGGCGGCGCAGCAAAGAATCGGGGCACGGGGCAAACAGGGTTGTTGTTTTAAAAAAAAAAACTCAAATGTGCGCATGCTCTCCTGGGTGCTTGTGCGCATTTGTGGAGGCTTTGAAAAAAACCCTTTTTGCGAGGAGACATGGGTGGGCGCCGGAACTACCACCAGAAACACAATCAGATGCCCGCCCTTGCCCATTTCCCAGTACAGATCTCTATAAAACCCGTTTGCTTCCTTCTTTCCTTCCGCGGCAAGTTACTCCTTCTGTCTGCTACTGTTGCTTGTTTAACCTGTTTCTAATCCACAAGAGGATCTGTCCTCTTGTCCACAACTGACAAGTTTGCTCAAGAGTCTTTGGTGAGGAAATTCATCAAGAACTTTTTGGAAGTCCAAGTAGATAATGTCTACTGGCTCACCTTTGTCCCATGTCTTTATGAAGCCCCTCACAGAATTCCAAAAGTTTGGTGAGGCAGGATTTTGCTTTGTAGAACTTGTGCTGATTTTCTCAGTAGGGCCTGTTCTTCGCCATGCTTAATCGTTGTGTCTTTAATTGCATCCCTGAAACAGTCACTGGACTAACAGGCCTGTCATTTCATTGACCACCTCTGGATCCCTTTGTAAAAGTCTCATTACAGTTGCTCTGGACTGGAAGCCAGTCTTAAGGAAGTGTCATATTTTTGTGAGGAGACCAGCCATTTTGCTCCCAAGTTCCTTAAGAGCCCTTGGATCTATGCCATCTGGACCCAGTGGCTTGTTAAGTTTATGGATCAGCCCTAGAACTTCTCTCTTCATCACCTCTATTTGACTCAGGTCTGTAGCTTACCTTCTTGAAAACAGTGACACCGGCACAGATAGCCACACCACATTTTGCATGGTGAAAACCAACATAGGCTGCGATCACACGGAGCATTAGGCACGCTAGAAGGACGGAAGATAGGCGGATTTTCCGGGCGCGATCTCACCGCCACATCTGGGAAGCGTCGAGCTCCTGTGGCGAACCCGAGGCTTCCCTATTTATACAAATGTTGAACTCAACAACATTATGATCACTGTTCCCAAGCGGTGCAATCACTTTTACATCTCTCACCAGGTCTTGAGTGTTACTTAGGACCAAATCAAGGATCACCTGTCCCCTGGTAGGTTTCGTGACCATCTGCTCCATAGCACGGTCATTTAGAGTGTCTAGAAACTCAATCTCTTTTTCTCGACTAGAACACATATTGACCCAATCAATGTGTGGGTAGTTAAAATCACCTATTACGACACAGTTTTTTTGTCTAGCTGCTATCTTTAATTCATTCATCATTTTATAATCCTCCTCTATCTTTTGATCTGACAACATGCATTGCATTCTGGATCCTATCCTGCATTGTACCAGTCTGTGCCGACCGCTATGGTGTTGAGCCCGGCCTGGACCACACCTCTGCTTCCATAATGAAGGCAGCATGAGGCGTAGGGCTCCTTCCACTCTTGCTCTGCCCCTGGGACGCCACGCTTTGCTTCTAGGTCTGTGCCATCTGCCCTGGCACTCCCTACGCCAAACGTGGCCTTCCCCTCCAGAGCCCCATCCTTCCTTTAAGCCCATGGTGCCCTTTAGTCACCATGTTCTGTACCAGCGGAGACCAGCCTGTCTTGGAATCTTCCCTCCAGCCTCCATCTCCAGCTGGGAGCTCTTGTCTCTCACACAAGCCATGCCAAGGGCCGGTTCTCTGAGCTCCCTCCCATTCACATCTCGAGTCTTGTAAGCAGTGTTCCCTCTAAGCTGTGTTAGTGTGAGCTGGCTCACAGTTTTTTTTTATCCTCCAGCTCACAGATTTTTGTCTTAGCTCAGGAAGGAGGGCTCCAGAGCAATCTTAATTGATGCAGTAGCCAAATCACCTGCTCACCACTTTCAGGCCAGTAGCTCACAAAGTAGAATTTTTGCTCACAGCTTAGAGGGAGCATTGATTGTAAGTATAATCAGTCCTCCCTAATGAGAGGGAGAACTCAGAGCAATCAGCTTGAGTCGTGTTGAGTGTGGCCCTCCTGGAGCTAGTTCCTTACATGTAGCTCTACCTCCAGGAGCTGCAGGGGAAGCATAGAGAGAGGGGAATTAGTTTCCATGCACAGCCTAGTCTCCAGTGTTCCCTCTAAGCTGAGTTAGTGTGAGCTAGCTCACAGTTTTGTTAGCTTCCAGCTCACACATTTTTATCCTAGCTGAGGAAGGAGGGCTCCACAGCAAACTAATGTATGCAGTAGCAAAATCGCTGGCTCACAGCTCCAATGCCAGTTGCTCACAAAGTAGAATTTTTGCTCACAAGATGCCACAGCTTAGAGGGAGCATTGCTTCCCCCCCCCCCCCCCGGCAAACAGGGAAGTGGGATTGACTAAGCAACACAGTCTTTTTTAAAAAATGACATTAAAAAAGGAACAGATCTGTTAAATTGTAGAGGAATAGATCTTGGGGAAGAAGGCAGCTTCCTTTTTTTTGGTCCATAAATGAGCATTTTCTGCTTGAGTGGAATCATTTAGGAGAGAAGGGGACTCATTTTCTAAATATATTTTGGAATATTTAAAAAAAAAATCTAGAAGGACAACGAAGGCAGATGGGCCAGAGACACTTGTGATGGTACGGGCACCCTTCCCATAAGCCGGCCTCTGACATTTTATTTAGGAGAGGGGGGGACTCATTTTCTAAAGATATTTTGGAATATTAACAAAAAAAAATCTAGAGGGACAACAAAGGCAGATGGGCCAGAGAGGACAGGCATGGCCCGAGTCCGACACTTGTGATGGTACGGGCGCCCTTCCCATAAGCCGGCCTCTGACATTTTTGTCCTCTCTCTTCAGGCAGCATTCATAAGCATAAACAGAAGAGCCTGCTGGGCAGAAGTATGACATTTTCCCAGCAACAAAATATTGCGACTCAAGAGAAAATGCAATTTCTTCACACTGTAGGAACACTTCCTTGAAGAAGCTGGAGTCCCATAGTAACCAATGGCACACTTATCCAGGGGTCATTTCGTAGAAAAAGAGGTGCAAGGGCTCATTAGCATAACCTATTTGCATATGCCACACCCCCTGACATCACCAGAAATGTGTCAGAAGGCAACACCCACCGCTCAGGCTCCACTGGACTGTTTTGGATTGCTAGCTATTGGGGGGGGGACGTGCAGATCTGTCCTCGCAGAGGAGGGAGAGCTTGTACTTGAATAAAACTTGGTCTTAAAGGTGCCACTGGACTGTTTTGGAC